ACTCCTCCGTCCCTTCGACTGGCCTATTGCAGTCTCCTCCTCACTGGACTCCTGGCTTCCACCTTCACCCCACAGTCCGTTCCCCCAGCTGAGGGGTTTCACTCTCTCCCTCTGCATGTTGCAACAGATGGTGGGGGGACAATGAGAAAAGCCGGGGAGCCAGTGAGGCCCCTGCTGTGGTCCAGACAGAAGGTGAAGGTGCTTAGGACAGAGTATGGCAATGGGGGGGGGGGTGTCAGAGTGCAAAATGGTCAAATTAGTATGTGCTTTTGTTGTTTTGATATTTATTGTATTATTGGTGAAAGGACACATGGCAATACATTGGCTAAACAAAAGGCTGACAGTTCAAGTGCACCAGAGGTGGCTCGGAAGAACGAACGGGTGGCTTTTGAAGGTTGAGGGTACTCAGAAATGATTTGCTGAGGGCCTGGATGTGTGGGTCGAAGGCAAAAAAAACTAGAGTCAAGGAGGACTCTTAAGATTTTTGCCTGATAAGGAAGATCCAGGTGAATGGGATTAAGGATAAATATGTTTCCTAATTGTCTGTCAACCCTCACCAGGCCCCAGGGCTTTCCTCCTAACAATATTAACACTTGAGTGCATGCAGAACAAGGAGCTCTGGTGGTACAGTGGTTAAGGCATTGGGCTGCCAAGCAAAAGGTTGGCTGTTCGAACCCACCACCTGCTCTGTGGGAGAAAAATAAGGCAGTCTGCTTCCCTAAAGATCTACTGCCTTGGAAACCCTATGGGGCAGTTCTGCTCTGTCCTACCAGCTGGAATCAAATGCATTTGGTTTGGTTTATTTTTGGTATGCAGGGCATCTCCCCCATCTCCCTAAGTTAGCACTTAATAAAGGCCTGATGGGAATTAAGCAAGTGAATAAAGATAACGTTAATTCCTTGGATCAAGTAAAATGAAGGGAGGGCCCAGGAAAGGACAGTGGTTTCTCCAGGAGGAGAGAATGCAGTCTACCTTTCCAACTGAAGAAACTGACCCTGGAAGATGTAAGGCAACTTCTGAGTGCAAGCTAGTTAAGTGGTAGGAAAAGGAGGCCAACACAGGTTGGACTGACCGGGGATCCGACCAGTGTGCTCTCTGCAGGAGGGCAGACTTGATCTGGCCAGTACAGGGGAACCCTTGGAGGTTTCAGAGCAAAGGTATTACCAGGTTAAGAATCTGGTTTGAGAAAGGTCAGGCAGGGTGTGCCCCGAAGAAGGCAGGTGTTATCCACTCTCCCTGATGACCTGGCCAGACACATCCTTTATCCTTTCAGTCTGGCAGCAGCCAAAGATGTGTTGTTGCTGGATTCAGGGAAAATGTCCACACCCATCCCCCACCACTGGAAAACCTGCTTGATTAGGTCAAGAGCCCAGGACTTAGGTCCGACCGCTGGGGCAGGATTCACCGAGATCCCTCCCTGGAGGACCTCCTTTGGAGAAAGAAAACAGAATGGATCAGCTCAGCGGCCACATTAAAAAAAAAAAAAAAGCTAGTGCCTCAAAGCCACCAAAGTAAGGAAACAGCAGAATTATCAGATTAACAGCGAGGCTCCCGGACCCAATCGACCGAGGTGGCCACGTGTCCACAAACACTACTCAAATGCGGCCTCCGGGGAGGGTCAGAACCCCAAGGACAGAATACCTAGCCCGCCCCTCCGCCCTCAGGGCCGGTCAGTTCTTTTTTAATTCCGCCCTGGCCACCCATCCCTCTCCTTTTCTTATACTAATTAGGTCCTCCCGGCCCCCAGGCGTCCACTCTCCACTCAGCACTCGAGCCGGCCGTTCTCCCGGCTCGGATTAAAGAGACAATTCCACCCCGGGAGAAGCGGGAGTCTGGAGATTAAGTCTCGCTATTATTATAACGTCGTCGTTATGATTTCTACGGGGGGACTTGTGTTTCCCTCCCCCTGCTCTCCAGCCCAAGCCCGGCGTGGGGACGTCCGGCTGTTTGGCTTCGTGGACCAGAGCACCCCCGCTGCCGGAGTTCCAGGCGCGGCTTTGCACTTTCCCGCCACGGCCGGCCTCGCACAGGGGTGGGCATCCCGGGCCAGGGCCAAAGCGACGGAACCCGCTCCGACTCCCAGCCACCAGCCCGCACTCACCGAGGTCCGCGGCTGTGGCGCCCCCACTTCCGCCGGCGCCCCCGATGCAGAGGCCCGGGCGCTCCGCGAGCCTCAGAGCCTGAGTTCCGCCCTCTCCGCAGCCGCTGCCCCACGTGGTGGCCGGCTGGCTCCAGGCTAGGAAATGATCAAAGCACCACCCCACGGGCTTGCCTGGCAGGCAGGCCGGTCGCTTCAGTTTCATTCGCCAGCTGCGAGGTAGGGGTGTCTGGCATGCTCCGTTTGCAGCGGAAGAAACTGAGCCCCAGAGAAAAACTTCCTCCCTGCTTGGTCTGTTGTGGCCTCCAGTTTTCTTGCACCCCCAACCCTCTAGACACACCTACTCTCCTGTCCAGTCGAAACCCCACCTCCCCTAATTGAAACAGGAAAAAAGCTTGCAGCTAGGTAGCTGATGGTCTGAAGGCGGTCGTTTTGCCTGTCAGCCTCCCTGCAGCCCCATTCTACAAAGGGTGAATTGAGGCACAGTCCTGGGAAATGTCTAGCCTGAAGTACTGTGGATCTCATTGATTCCGACGCAATTAGCTTCCTCCACAGAGTTCTTCACAGGTAGGGGCCCTGTCGACCTCTGCTCACCCAGTCCTCACAGCCTGGTGCCTGGCACACAGTAGGCCCTCTACAAATACCCGTTGAAAGAATGTCATACCCATAGTAGGTGCTCAATCAATATTTGTTGAGGTGGGGAGTCACAATTCTGGGGATGTACTGGTGAATAAGACAGATTTGCCCATCAGAACTTACCCTCTGGGGGTGTGGTGAGAGGTCAAAACACATGATACCCAAACGGTAGCGATTCTGCTCAGGAAAATAGTAGGCAAATGGAATAAACCAGCATATCGTGAAAAGATTCTATGGGGCACAAGAAGTGATGTGAAAACTAGAAAATAAGGGCATAGGATAGAGGGTGGCCAAGTCAGGGGACGCTTCCTGAACTGAGTGGTCAGAGGAGGTGGCGTTGCCAGAAATCCCTCTAGTGCCAACCTCCCCGGACACCTTTGATAGATGGGGAAACTGAGACCCAGGGCGGCACTGGGGACAGATGGAGGTCATCCAGTGTAAAATGCAAGGCCTTCAGCAGGCAGGGTGGGGCTACTTTAGATATGGTGGTCAGGGCGGCCCTGGGCTCTGGGAGGACAATGGAGCTGAGACCTGAATAACAATGTGAGCAGCACTTCTCCGAGAATCAGCATGTGAAATGCCAGGTGCACTCGGTCCTGGGCTGGGGACACCTGGGGCAGGACAGAGCCTGGCCCTGACCTCAGGGGGCATGTGTTCTGATGGCTGGCAGAGCAATCAACAAACAGTTCTATGTTACGATGTGGGATGTGGTCGGTGGGAAGGGTTGAAGGCAGGGCAGAGAGGGCTGCGATGGTTGGCTGTTCTGAATCGCGAGTCCAGGCTTAGGAGCAGAAAACATTGGGACCTTCCTGAGCTCCGAATCCTCCTATGTCTCGCATCTCAGGAAAACCAAAAGATCTTAAACTGGTCAAAGGCATCTTGTACCCACTTCCCCACTGACCTCAGTCACCCACTCCTCTGTTCCTGAAGCCGCAGCCAGTTGCCTGACTCTCTGCCCTCTCTCAGGTCTTAACTCCACCATGCCCTTCCTGGATATCGGGAAGAAAATTGAAGCCCCCACCCCTGCAACCCCATGCCCTTCCTCTCTTTATTTCTCTCCAGGGCACTTATCATGAAAAGGACTCTAATTTACTTATTTATCTTGTTTTTAGTCCTGTCTACTTCCCTAGACTATATGCTACAGGAAATAAACAAAAAACCCCACTGCCCTCCAGTCCATTCCCATACATAACGATCCTAAAGGATAAAGTAGAACTTGCCCCATGTTTCCAAAGTTGGAAGCTTTACGGAAGCAGACTGCCACATCTGTCTCCGGCAGAGTGGCTGGTGGGTTCAAACTGCTGACCTTTGGGTTGGCAGCAGAGCGCTTAACCACTGCACCACCAGGGCTCCTCAGCGACACTAAGGCAGTGATTTTTGTCTGTTTTATTCATCGCTGAACCCCCAGTGCTTAGAACAGGGGCCAGGTGTCCAGTAGGCGCTCAATAAATATTTGCTAAATGAATTTTCATCGTGATGCATTTAGTAAAATAGTCCAGATCACTAGTAGGCGCCTCATTAGAAACGTGGCCGCTACCATTTTCTCGTGGCGGGTACGTGTAGGCACCCTCGTGCCTTAGTTTCACCAGGCATAGAATGGGATCAGGAATCGCTGTCCCCATTGGTTCCGGTGTGAACTCGGCGTGATGGGGTTTGGTCACTCCGCCAGCCGCAGCGGGCACGGCTTTGACTGAGGCTGGCCGCCCGCGGGCCCCTGCGGGGCCGCCCCGCCCCCTCCCTCCAGTCCCCGCCCCCGCAGGGCGGAGCCGCGGCCCGGCCAGCACGTGTAAGAGTTCGCGGCGGGTCGCTGCAGTCACTCACCTGAGCGCCGCGCCCGGAGCGCACGGCTCGCGCGTCCTCCGCCCGCCCGCGCGTCCGCACGCAGGGCCGCGACCCATGTCCCGCCGCAAGGCCGGCAGCGCGCCCCGCCGAGTCGACCCCGTGCCCGCCAGCTCAGACGACGAGATGGAGATGCCGGACCTTGTCACCGAAGTGAAGCCCGAGCTAGACGCGCGGCTCCTGCAGGCCCGGGGACTGGGGCCCTTCTCCCCGAAGGAGGCGCCCGCGCCTGGGTGCTTCGGTGACGAGCCCCGCCACTCCCCAGGCTCCACGCCCGCCGGGGCCGCTCTCCACGCTCTTGGCGCGTGGAGCCAGTGGGCCCCGTGGACGCCGCTGATCACCAACTCTCTCGGTGAGCTCCCCAGCCCCTGGACCCAGCCTCCTTGCACTTTGACGCTCGGGTAGGGGAGGGACCCCATGCATTGGGCGCGAACCCTTGACCCTGCCCTACCTCCCTCGGCCGGCCCTGGTCCCCGGCCCTTTTCCGACCCTCGGGCTTCTCTCCCTCGGAACCCCGGCTCCTGTCGTGGCCCCGCCCCCACGCTCACCACCCGCTTCCTCCCTGCAGACCGCCAGTCCTGGACCGACAAACACCCAGATCTGTTGACCTGCGGCCGCTGCCTGCAGACCTTCCCGTTGGAGGCCATCACTGCCTTCATGGACCACAAGAAGCTGGGTTGTCAGCTCTTCAGAGGCCCCAGACCCCGCCATGGCCCAGGTGAGTAGAGCCGGCGGCGTGCAGTCCGTTTCTCAAGTTCAAGGGCCGGGCTTCCTGCGAGAAAAGCGCAGCAGAGCTGGACAGGCAGGGCAGTGAGCATGACTTCCCCTTTCTTGGCTCCCCTTGGGGTGCAGCCTAGGCGTGGCCACGGCCTGCCCTGTCCTAGCTGGGACCTGTGGTAGTGGGGGCGGGGGGGGGGCCAGGCCCACAGGGTGTGGCCAGCCCCCGAGACTGACCTGGGAATTTGCCACTTGCACCCCCAATCTGGTTTCACTTCTCCTTCCCCTTGGCCAGAAATAACTGGCCAGGTGGCTGGACCAGGGTGGCAGTAGGGAGGACCTCTGGGGTGTGTGTGGGGGGCAGACAGCCGCCTGGAGGAGGGGCAGCCTGGACCAGCTGGAGGGGAGGTCACCTCTCTCTTCCCACCTCTTTCTCGTTCTACTCAGGGCCAGGGGAGGGGGCTTCTGTAATCTGCCCTTGATGGAATCTCCCAGCCCAGGGTGCTGGGAAGCCCCTGGTTTGAGCACAGCTCTGGTGTCTGGATACCTGGGTTCCTTCTCTCAGAAGGGAATTAAAACTCTTCATACAGTACTGTGGCTTAGTGGGGCTCATTTGGCTTAAAATTTCCAGCCCCAGGGCCCATGCCCTCCTGGGACTTTTGAGAAATTGAGTCATACTCAGGGCTGGGGCAAGGGAGGATCCAGTGATGGGAAAGAGGAGGAGGGGCCGCGCTCAGTCAGCTTCACAGCTGGTGACTCCCAGCTGGGCACCGTCTAGTTGTGATGGGATGATGGGACTAACATGATCAGGAATTACTGGATGTGTAGACCGGTGAGCGCCTGGATTCTGTTGGCTTAGCTCATGTTTATTAACCTGCAACTCTCAACCCTAAAGGGAGGGGACCCTGAGGATATCCCTATTCGGGCAGGTGAAGAAACTGAGGCTCAGAGATGGGGTTATGTCTTCAAGATACCACAGCCAGGGTGCAGGGGAACAGAATTCAAGCCCAGGCCGGGCTGACCCTCCCCTGCCCCTGCGAGTACTCTTGTCCCTGGTGGAGCATTACAAAGGCTACCTCATGTCTAAAATTTGTGGATGTGGGACATGCCCACTGAGGTACCCAAAGAAAACATCAACTCTGGGGGGCGGGACACAAGAGGGTCGGGGCTCCTGGTTGCCTCTCTTCACCTCTGGGTGGTCGCTCATCTTATCCCCCACCAGGACTCAGGCCCCGTCTTCTGTCAAGTGGTGATAATTGGATCATGTAGGCCCCTGAGCTTGGGGCCTAGCATAGAGAAACCCACTCAGTAACTGAGAGCTGCTAGGTGGCGCAACGGTTAAGTGCTCAGCTACCAACTTGCAGGTCTGTAGTTCACTCCCTAGGGGAAAAGGCTGCTGCTATAAAAATACCAAAACCAAACCAAACTCATTGCCATGGAGTTGATTCAGACTCACAGCGACCCTACCGGACAGAGAACTGGCCCCTAGGGTTTCCAAGGCTGTAATCTTTATGGAAGCAGACTGCCATGTCTTTCTCCCAAGGAGCTGTAACCACTGCACCACGAGGGCTGAAGAATGACAGCCTTGGAAACCCTATGAGGCAGTTCCACTCTGTCCTACAGGGTTGCTATGAGTTGAAATCGGCTCCACACATTATTCAACCAACAATCCTTTTGGAAAATCCGTCTCCTCTTTCCCAGCCCCAGCCCTTCCAAACTATGTGGCCTTAGGGATGTGCCCCTCTGTGCCTCAGTTTCCCCATCTGGGAAATGAAGTCTTCTATCTTGCCGTGGGAGGAGCTCTGGTGGTGCAGTGCCTAAGGCATCTGACTGGTAGCCAGAAGGTTGGTGGCTCAAACTCACCAGCCACTCCATAGAAGGAAGTCCGGGCAATCTACTTCTGTAAAGATGTACCGCCTTGGGAAACCCAACAGAGGTAGCTAGGAGTCGGAATGGACTTGAAGGCAGTGGGTTTGGTTGTGGTTTTACCCTGTCGTGGAGGGAGGCTGTGAAGAGTGAGCTGAGGCGGGCATGGCCTGGCACCCAACACACAGGAAGTGCTTACTGGCTTTGGTCACTTCAGCCAGGCCTTCCTGTCTGCCCTGCACCTCGCTCTGCTCCAACCTTTCTCTCTGGACGATTTTCAAACCCACGAAACTGGAACAGATCCTAGGTCCTCAGCACCCACTCCACAGACTGCTTTCCTGGTGTCTTGTCCACCCACCCCCGTGAGCACCAGCATCATGACAGTGAGTTGGTTGTGTTTTGTGACTGCTGAGCCCTTGGCCCCCAGAATAGAGCCTTTCCCACAGGTGTCCAGCCGGTAGCTGTGAACAGCTGTTAGCTGCCACGGCCGTGGTTTTGATCCCAGTAAACGTTCCTCCTAACGGCCTTGCCCCTGTTCTCTTCTCCAGAACGTGAGGACCTCAAAGCTTTGAGCTGCCTTCGCTGCGGGAGACAGTTCACGCGGGCCTGGAAGCTGCTGCGCCATGCCCAGTGGGACCACGGCCTGTCCATCTACCAGACAGAATCTGAGGCCCCCGAGGCCCCGCTGCTGGGCCTGGCTGAGGTGGCAGCGGCCGTGTCCGCTGTGGTGGGACCGGAGGTTGAGGCCAGCAGTCTCCGGGCGAGCGGCCGGCGGAGCCCCACCTGCTCCGTGTGCAAGAAGACCCTTAGCTCCTTCAGCAACCTCAAGGTGCACATGCGTTCTCACACAGGTGAGCGGCCCTATGCCTGCGACCAGTGTCCCTACGCCTGTGCCCAGAGCAGCAAGCTGAACCGCCACAAGAAGACCCATCGCCAGCTGCAGCCCCAGAGCCCCTGCGCTGCCGACGCCGGGCAGGAGCAGGCTTCCGCGGCGCCCCCCGAGCCGGCTGCCCACGCTGCCGCCCCGGCCAGCACCCTCCAGTGCAGCGATGGGGAAGGGGCTGGGGCCGCCGCCACAGCTGGAGTCCAAGAGCCCGAGGCCCCTGGCGGTGGGGCTCAGGCCGGCCCTGGGGAGGACGGTTGGGGAACTGCCAGCAAGGAACAAGCTGATCCTGCCAAGAGCCAGAAGTCTTTGCCCAAGAAGATGCAGAAGTCAGGGGGCAAGAGCCGCGGGCCCGGGGGCAGCTGCGAGTTCTGCGGGAAGCACTTCACCAACAGCAGCAACCTGACGGTGCACCGGCGCTCGCACACGGGGGAGCGGCCCTACACCTGCGAGCTCTGCCCCTACGCCTGCGCCCAGAGCAGCAAGCTCAACCGCCACCGGCGCATGCATGGCCTGGGGCCCAACGGCGCCCACTTCGCGTGTCCCCACTGCCGCGTGCCCTTTGGCCTGCGCGCTACGCTGGACAAGCACCTGCGGCAGAAGCACCCTTTAGCAGCTGCCCCTGGGCCCCACTGTTAATGCCACCATTGGCCCCCCGTCCTTCCCCTGCTTTGAGTAAACTCCCTCCCCTGGTGCTCATGTAGACTCTGGCTTTCTTGGGGTGTCTGAGGTGGGGCGGGAGGCTCCCCTCCTCGGGTGGACGCCTGGACAGACCGGTTTGGGGTGAGGGGGTGAGAGGAAAGGCCGGCCCCCAGTGCCTGGGGCAGAGCAGGACTGGCACAGAAAGCCGTGCTCCCAGTTCCCGGTGTGGGTGAGGCCAGGGCAGGGGCCGAGGTGAGGGTGGGGAGCAGCCTGGACCTGTCGCCAGAGGCCCCTGGGCGAAGAGAGTCCCTGCCCAGCCTCCATACTGGGTGCGGGCCGACACCCCTGTCCACACCTGCAGGCAGGTCTGGGCCCTTCCACAGCCCCATGGCAGAAGTGCCTTTGCTCCCAGCAGGTCTGGCTGAGACACAGGCTCTGTGACCCACATGGCAGCTCTTGCAACAGCCCACTGTCCTTGCACCATCTGAAGGTCCGGCTCCTTCAGGAAGGCGGCCCCCACAGGACTGGCTCTGCCAGCGGCACCAGCACCTGCCTGAAAGCCTAGCCAGGTCCAGGCCCAGGACTGCCCTGCAGATTACAGAGCACACAAGCCAGGGGAAGGGAATTAAATACCGTTCAGTTTTATTCCACCAGAGAGAGCCAGTAGCTTGGAGCTTCAACCCCGCGCGACACTGTCCAGGCCCCCCCAGCCCCCACTCTTCGCCTAGTGGCGGTAATGGGGGCTTCGGGAGCGGGACCGTGAGCGCCTGGAGAGAGAAAGGGGGGCGACCTGTGAGGGTGGCTGGGGAGCCAGGAACCAGCCCCACCTCCCCCAACATGCAGGGGACCCCTGGGCTTGGGGAGAGGGGACACTTTCCCAGGGTGGGGGTGGAGCGACAGCACTGGGCCCTCCCACCAAGGGACAGCCTAGCTCCCCAGAGGAGGGAGGGTCTCTGGGGAGCCAGCCTGGCTGCCTCACCTCCGGGAGGAGCTGTATTCCCGACCTGGGAAGAAAAGAGGAAGTGAAGACACAGCCGGGGAGGGGGCTCGTCCCTGACCTGAGTCAAGGCTGGGCTCGGGTTCCCTCTGCCTGAGGCCACATCCACTGACAGGACAGGATGGCAAGGGCACCAGAGGGACCTGAAGCCTCAGCCCCGGGAATGGGCGCTGCCGATCAGGCCGGTGACCACTGCCATAAGCAGGCGTTCACTGTGGGAAAGGTGCCCTGCGTCTACCCCTACTGGGATATTTCTATCTCGGGGTCACTCACTGTAGCGAGGGGAGGGGGAGCGGCTCTGCCGGCTGTACTGACGCTCCCATTCTTCTCGCTCCTTCTCTCGGCGCTCCCGCTCCCTGCGGGGGGGACAGGGGAGGCAGCCAAGAGGAAGGGGTGCATCCCTCAGTCCCCCAGGGAACACAGAGCACGGGGGGGGGGGGGGTGGGAGGGACTGTCTGCTCTGCCCAGGGCAGGTGCCGGCATGTAAGCAGAACATACCCCCAGGGGAGGCAGTGCTACTGTCCCCGTGGGCCACAGAGGCTCCCAGGGGAGAGCGGCTGACAGTGGGGATCTGAACACACAGAAGGGAGGCCAGGGGGCCCATCAGTGCTGGCCTGACGCAGAGCGCTGCCGGGGGGGACCTATGTGCACTGCGTGCTCACCTGGCCCCATCAGACAGCAGAGTCTGGGCAGAACCCTGCGGCTACACTTAGTGTGATCTCAGAGTCCCACAAGCCTATGAAGGGGACTGCGACCCCTCCCCATTTCAGAGATAGTAACTGAGGCTCAAGCAACTCCGGTGGCGCTGTGGTTAAAGCACTGGGCTGCTAATAAAAGTCACTGGTTCAAACCCACCAGCCACTCCACAGAAGAAGATGAAACAGGCAGCTCCCATAAAGACTGACAGCCTTGTAAACTCTCTGGAGCAGTTCTTCTCAGTCCTCTAGGGGCGCTGTGAGTCAGAATCAACCTGACAGCAGTCAGTGTTTGGATTTTTTTTTTTTCTGAGACTCAAACAAGACAAAAGGCCATAACGGTGTGTGGCAGAATCAGGGTGAGAAGATGGTAGGAGTGACCACATCACCAAGACCGTGACGCCTTGGCTTCCCCTCCTCGGCCTCTGATGCCCAGCACACAGTGGGCACATGATAAATGACAACTCCAACAGCAGTGCTTCCGGGCACCCAGCCTCACAGCAGGCCCCCAGGAGGCGGGTGCCATATGACCCCTCTCTCAGAGGAGGGAGGGAGCCCCAGCTCCAGGAGATAGGCTGCTTGTCCTTGAGTACAGAAGGGAACCAGATGGCTACACGGCCAACCTCCTGGCCACTGCCCGTCTCCTTGTCAACACAGAGTATTCTAGTCCCTGGTGCCGCCTGGGGGCCCTGGGGGGGTGGAGCACTTAGCCCTGGGCTCTCCACTGCAGACCCAACCCAGTGCCCGGAGCACTAAGTGCAGCTTGAGAGGTCACGTCTCAGAGCCACACAGAGGGGCAGAGCTGGGATCAGACCCGGGGAAAGAGGGAAGGAGCGAAGAGCAGAGCCAGTTCACTCAGTCGACAGACATCCACTGAGTGTGCCAACCACACGTGCACTCCGGCACCAATGACACAGCAGGAGTGAACACACAGCAAGACGTTCACATGCCAGAGCGAAGGGGCACGGTGAGCAAACAAGATGTGCATCCCTAACGCCAGCAAGGTTAGTGGGCAAGAATTCTAAGGCAGGGGGCCTTCTGCACAGCTGTCTGGGCCACAGCAAGGGGCACTTGCAGTTGGTGGCTGGAGGAGCCGGCCGGGTTGAAGTGACTAGAACTAAGTTGGGCATGTTGTCGTGAGGTGCCGCTGAGCCCACTCCTGGCGACCGCACGCGTGTGGGGTAGAACTGCTCCAGAGGCTTTCCGAGGCTACACCTGTCACCAGCAGCTCCCCAGGCCTGTCCTGCACGGTGCCTCAGTGGGTGGAACCGCTAACCTTCTGGCTGGTAGTTCAACGCCAGTAGTAACTGCCCGCGCCACCCAGGGACTCTGAGTTGGAAGTGGAGGAGCTGATTGAGCAGAGGTGAGGAGTCACCAAAGCTCGGCCCCAAGGCCCTGGCCAGGTTTAGGCACCACACAGGGGCGGGGCAGGGCTCCAGCCAGGAGCCAGGCATCCGGGTAGGGTATGGAGGTATCGAGAGCAGGAGGCACACAGAGGGGTGGGGGTGTCTTACTTCATTCGGATCTTGCGGGCCATGGCACGCAGCTCGTCCTCCCGCTCCTGTGGCAGAGACGGCCGGGCCGTGAGGCTCAGCCCAGCGGAGCCCCACCCCACCCCATGTGCCCCACGTGCCCCACCAGGTAGCCCCACCCCGCCCCACGTGCCCCACCCCGTACCTGCCGTTCATGTTCCTGCTGGATCATCTTCTCCTGAGCCGCCTTCTTATCCGCCTTGACTGCAGGAGGAAGGGACACAGCCTGAGTGATGCCCTTAAGAGCTCCTGCTGCAAGGACACCGAGCCCCGCGAGGCCCGGGCAAGGAGGCCACAGAGCCACTCCCCCTCCAAGGGCCCGTGTCTGCTCCTGGCCTTTAGGAGAGGCAGAGGGAGGAGGAGCAGGCAAGCAGAGGGGCTGGCAG